CCGAGAGCATTTTGGGTCACAGGGCAAATATGAATTTTCAAGGAAGGCCAGGCCTTTTTACCATATCATATTCTTTTGGTGGAATTGTCGATGAAGCAAACGTATATCTGCCTACATCAGTAAATTTTAGGTATATATATTATTTATACTATGTAACTCTGTTGTCTGAAATAATTTATTCAATTGCTTACATTCATTGTGTGTTCTTTTTTAGTCAAATAGTTCTTTTACTAGGTCAAAATTATATTTAACTCGTCTAGGCTGCGTTTATCTTACTTTAAATCTTACAATTTTGTTTGTATTTGCTTCTCGTGTTTCCGGTGCCACCAATCTGATTTACACTACTTTGATTATTCATTGCGGTACTCTCTGTGGCTAAACTATTTAGAGGCCCACTGTACGTTTTGCCAGATGAGAATTCTACAAAATTGTAAAGCAAAGGTTCTACACTCTAAGGTTGCTTTTGGATCTATACTTGATTCTAACTGAACATTTTGCACATTTTATGCATCTCCGACTTCATTTTTTTACAAACAGGCACTGTGATCGACATTTCTCATCATTTAACGCAAATCGGACAGTCGCCACGGTCTCGTCGAACATTGAAAAATCGCATCGTATCCTCTCCCGAAGCCACTGCGATCACATCTCCTATCCCGGGTATAGTGTCCTCCGATTGCTCTGCTCAATTATTGCGACCTGCAGCGGCTAAATCGGGTTCATTGGTAGGCCCCTTGGTCGGAAATTCCGCTATAAGCAGTCATTTATCAGGTGAGACAGAGATCAGCACACTTATGTCAGGAGTACGAAGTAACCCGTCCACAGGAGTTAAGCGCCATCGAAATCGAAATCGCCATGGTGGTTCCAGAATGGATTCTGCTACTAGTGCATCGTAGTATTTCAATCATTAATTTTCTTTGTGCCTGACGTATTTGCCAGCTCTACTGTTCTTGTCCATTATTATTTTTATTAATAGCTATCTAAAAATATCTATTAAATGCTTTTTCACCCACTAAGATATTAACTTTCTTTACTCTATTCGAAGCATGGAAGTAGCTATCAGCTATTACCTGTAATTTTCAAATGTATTACATTTTATTTGTTGCCAGTACTTTACCTTTATCTCTTTCCTTTCCTTCAACCTCACTGTTAGAATTTAGACCTCCACTTTTGACTAAAGAACTTGCTAGGCATCCCAACTATCCATTAATCTTTCCTCACGACTCAAATTAAATTTTCCGTTTACTTTTCCGGCCACTTGTATTTCGGCCTTGCCATATTTTAGCAGGCCTTTTCGATCCTTTTGGAATATACGGCCCTCTAACATTTATTTTCTTGTAGATATGTGCAAATGCCTAGCCCGTGTTTCCCGACTCATTGTATGTCCAGTCATTTGATCTGTACCTGAGGTTGTTTTTTCTTCTATCACTTTTTCTGCCTTCCATCCTTCTAACTATCATCCTTACACCATACTCCTGAACCGCTCTCTATAA